TTCTCCTGCCAGGTCTTCCAGGGTAGGACACAAATGCCCCATCTGGGGACCTTTCTGTATCACTAAGTAGCAAAGGTCTCAGCAAGAGGAATGGGTGCACCACAAACTTAACTGCCTGAGCTGAAACAAGAGGCTTAGGATGAAAGGAAACAGCAAAGAACTCTGGGGACATAAAGAAACAGTCTAACGGGACGTGCCAAATGTATCACAACAGATCCCAACCAAAAGGAAATTGCCAAAATGTGAGAAATGGGATTCAGAATATGTATGGCAAATAAGATTAATGGAATTGAAGAGAAAATTAAAAACATAAATAAGCCAAAAATATTTTAAGACATAGATTAAAAAATGAAAAAGTCACTAAAGACAAAGGCAACACAAAATCTACAATAGAACTGAAGTAGTCATTTAGGGAATTTTAAAATACAGCAGAAAACTTTAATACAGCAAAAAACTTTACCAACAGACAAGAACAAAGGGTTTCAGTTTAAAAAAGAAGACTTGGACCATATTTTTCTTCTGTCCAACACATATGAAAAACCAGGAAATGAAATTGATGAACTTCTTCAGCACCAAACCCCAGACATCACACTCCTCAAGGCAGTGTGACCCCACAGGGTCAGACACGGGTGTCCCCAGCCCACATGATGCTGGGGAGCTGGTGCCTGGGGGAAGCCTGGGCCCTCACAGCTGCACCTTCACCACAGGGACACCACCAGCACAGCCATCAAGGTTTAAGTAAAGAACTAGATGGTCACAGTCAAAGGCACTAGGAGCATCCGAGATAATTAAAGATGTTTTTCTTTCCTCCTCCTCTCAGTGGGTTTGTGAGGTGCTTAGACCACAGATACTTCTGCCCTGGCCCAGTGCCCAGGTGTGATTTCACTTAAGTGATTAAAGCCATTTGTTTCTTAGTGAAGTACAAAATTCAGCCACTTAAATCTGGACTCCAACTCAAAAACTGCAGCAGGGAAACTTTATTTTCAATTCAAGGAAGGAGGGACAAGGGAAGGGAGAGAGGAAAGGAGGAAAAGGGAAGGAGGGAAAGTGTGTCTGTCCTGAGCGGCTGCACAGCAGGACGCCTGAGGAGCTTCTCGGTGACCCTCCCTCCTGCACTGTCCCCTGTGGCTACTGCGCACCTGAACCACGGCCAGCACGACTAAGGAACTAAATTTTAGAGTGAATTTTAAAGTTTAACTAATTTAAACAGCCACCAAGTGTCTGGGAACTACTGTTACCAGAATTTCTACTTCAGTAGGTTCTTGGTCTCGGGGATTGGAAGAATGAACCCAGGAACCACAGATCAGAGGTTAGATAGGATTTTATTAAACAGAAAGGAATACAGAAGCAGTAAAAAGCACCAGAGCATCTGGCAAAGGGGAAGAGCAGGTCGGAAGTCTCCCCCATGGGTCCTCTGTCTATGGCTATATATAGTATTTTTGGCCAGGACTTGGTAGGTGGAAAAACACCTTTTCAAAGTTAATGAGTATATTAACAAATGAATGGATGCAGTCCCTCTGGTTAGGGGCAATGTTATTGCATCTTTGCAGTTTTTGTCTCAGGGATTAGGGTGTGTGTGCCCAACTCAAGCTGTAAAAGCCCAGAATGTTTCAGGCTGCCTTGCTAGAGCTCAGAGGGTGTGGCCTGGAAAGGGCGGCCTGTGTGTGCCTAGAGATGGGGGTCTGATTTCTGAGCTCATCCGGGCCTAGAGAATGGGGGTGGGGGATTCCCTGTCCAGTCCTGAGTGGGGGGACCCTGTATCCCTACCATCCTGGAAAACAGTGGAGCTCTATGCAGAAACTTTAGTTTGACAGGACTAATGGGACAGTGCCAGGCCGCCAGCCTGTGCTGTGGTTTTCCGAGTGTCACCATAGGCAAATGAAGAACAGACTGTCCTTGTCATCATTCATTTGTGACTGACTGTGGGTGTGAGCTAAAGACAAGGTGTGACTTAGGCTAAGGCATCCAGAGGGCATGCAAAGTCCAGGTTCATCAGACCCCAGTAACAGCTTGGTCCCGAGGGCCTGTCTGACCAAAGTCCAGGTCTCTTCACTGCCCCTTCCAGCAGCTCCCCCAAATCACCAGGGGTAAGGAAGGAGATTTTAGCAAGTAAAGATCACCATCCACTGACCACGCCAATGTAGAGATGGGAATCACGGAGTGAGTTACAAACACTGAAGGTCACAGCCTTGGTTTAAATTTAGAATAACCTAGTGACCCTCATGACCCTTTCCCTGCACTATTTAGGCCAGCACTGTGTTTAGTTCCCTATTTCTATTATCAGCTTTACAGTACATGTTGTGGTCTTGCTGCAGGAAAGGACGCCTTTTGGGGCAGCATTTGCCCACCCCTCCTGCCCACACCAGTCATTCCACCTGCGATGACCGAGTCTGGGTTTCCTTTCACACTGTCCCCTCAGTGGCTATGTGGGGTTCCCCCACAGTCACAACTGACACCTTGATTTGTTGGAGTAAAAAAGAATATATAGATTTGCTTTTGCATTTTATCCCATCAACAATCTAAGCTTAAATCTCCTCTCAGAGGAAGCTCTGAAGCCAGCTGAGAATGCCATCATGGGAACTGCATCTAAAATTTCTTTTAAAACAAACACAATGTTTTATAAATCTGTGATTTTTCTTGCTCTTTTTGGTATTCTTCACTTTTTTCCCTAGTAAATTACCAAAACGGAGAGTACTGTAAATCTAAGGTAAACCAAATCACACCAACCAAACAGTAAGGGAAATGGTGCGTAAATTTGTGTGTGTGTGTACAAGTATGACAGCCTGTATGCGTGTGTACATGTACAGCAGCCCGTATGCATGTGTACATGTATAGCAGCCTGTATGCATGTGTACAACAGCACATGTGTGCATGTGTACAAGTATGACAGCCCGTGTGTGCACGTGTACATCTACAGCAGCCCATGTGTGATGTGTACATCTATAGCAGCCTGTGTGCATGTGTACAAGTATGACAGCCTGTGTACACGTGTACATGTACAGCAGCCTGTGTGCATGTGTACATCTACAACAGCCCATGTGTGATGTGTACAAGTATGACAGCCCGTGTGTGCACGTGTACATCTACAGCAGCCCATGTGTGCATGTGTACAAGTATGACAGCCTGTGTACATGTGTACATGTATAGCAGCCTATGTGCATGTGTACATCTACAACAGCCCGTGTGCACGTGTATATCTACAGCAGTCCATGTGTGCACATGTACATCTACAGCAGCCTGTGTGCATGTGTATG